GCTCTGTCTCAAAAAAAAAAAAAAAAAAAAAGGTCAAAAAACAAAAGATGTTGGCGTGGATGCAGAGAGAAAGCAACACTTATACACTGTTGGTGGGACTATAAATTAGTATGATCTCTATGGAAAAACAATATGAAGATTCCTCAAAGAAATAAACATAGACCTACCAGAAATGTCACTGCTAAATCTACCAAGGGAAAACACAACTCTGAAAACAACTCTAAGACAAACAAAGCAGTTAGTGTTAGTCCCATTATCTCCCTACTCTGAGGGGTAAATAACTCTCCTGAGGTCACTCAACTGGGTCCAGGGTATGAATCTGGAGTACATGACTCCTAATGGGTGACCACTCTTTTTTATAGTAATTTTGTTTTCTCTTTAATGAAGTAATATATATTTATTAAACAAATGTTAGAATTCAGATAAAAGAAATCACTTTACTAGACAGTGAATAATATTATCAAAAAACTTTAACTCTCTTTGGAATGAAAGAAAATGGAAGTCAAATAAAAGAATAAGAAAAGAAAAAGTCAAGTAAAAGAATAAGAAAATACTTATTGTTTCCCATAATTACCATGCTAAAAAAGCAGAGGCAAGTATATTAGTTCCATGGAAAAAATAATGTTCTTCCTGAATTGCCATTAAATATTTTATATATAAAACACTTAAAAGTAAAATAACACTAAAATATAGGTATACCCTTAAAATGGAATCTAGAAATACCAGATTTTTCATCTGTACCTGCTTAGAGAAACATCCTAAATTGCACTTTTTATGATACATAAGTATAAGATAAAACCATTACCTTGGGTGTGCTTCCTTTAATGAATTTTTTAATCGAAGACAACAAGCCGGTTTCATTCTTCGGTGGTTTTTCTCCTCCTGAAGGGAGGTTATCATCAACCTCTGAATATTTCCTCTTTGCTCTGGCAGTGCGTTGTGTTTGGATTTGATTTGATTGCTGAGAAGCTTTCCGTGTTCTCAGCCTCATGTTTTATGGGTGCCACATGTAAAACTGTAAGAGAAAAGTAACAAAGGCTATTAAAATTCCATATAGCATACCCAAATGTTCCTAGCTTATATGTAGGTCACTATAAAAGTTTTGACAGACTGTGTTATGGCCTATTTCACTTTTGAAAAACACAGTTAACAGCGTCCTTTCTGATTTACTTGTGCAAATTTCAACCTGTTTAGCTTATTTATATTGATGGGAGGGCTTTGGTTGCATCTCCAAAGATTTATAAAAAGTTCTTGATTTTTGTGTATCTCAAAACTTCTTAAATGACTCATAATAAAAATTTCCTGGTTTTGGGTGGCGCCTCTGGCTCAGTGGGTAGGGCGCTGGCCCTATATACCAAGGGTTTCGGGTTTGAACCTGGGCCCTGGTCAAACTGCAACAACAACAACAATAACAACAACAAATTCCTGGTTTAAAACAAAAAGCCCAGGTGCTGTGGCTCATGCCTATAAATCCTAGCACTCTGGGAGTCTACAAGCAGGGGGATTGCTTGAGCTCACAAGTTCGGGACCAGCCAGAGCAAGAGTGAGACCCTATCTCTAAAAAAAAAAAAAGAAACCCAAGACCAGGCACGGTGGCCCACACCTGTAATCTCAATACTCTGGGAGATGAAGGCAGGAGGACCACCTGAGCTCAGGTATTCAAGATCAGCCTGAGCAAAAGCAAGACCCCATCTCTACTAAAAATAGAAAAACTAGCTGGGTATTGTGGTGGGTTATCTATAGTCCCAGCTACTTGAGAAGCTGAAGCAGAAGGATTACTTCAACCCATGGGTTTGAGGTTTGCTATAAGCTATGCTGATACCAAGGCATTCTACCTG